TATTATGGAAATAGATCAAAGCAAAGAAACTGATAGCAAACTAATAGATTTATCAATAATTAAAATCCAACAGATAAAGACACCGATCTCTAAAACACATGAGAATCTGTTGAATGATCCTCCACTCAGTTCTGCTCTCAGCCTCATGCAGTTTTTGCTGCTGCTCTGGATTCACCATCGATAGGAACAGATCAAAATCATCCACTAACAACTAATCACTGATCAATAAAGTCATTAAAGACTGAAAGGGAATCAGACGGCAGGTGAGGAGGCGACCCGGCAGAGCGCTGCTGAAGGATTGATTAGATCAGAACTTTGTGGAGGGAAACGCCGCCATCTTGGATCAGAGCAGAGATGTCAGTGATTCCTAAACCTGGTAAAGATGAACTGGATGTGGTTCATAAACACCATCAGTTTGAAACATTGATTACAGGATCACTGCAGCAACACTGGATAAATATTATAATCCCAGGAATTACAGACACAGATCAGATTTAATCTGGTTTTATCATCAACATTCAAACCCATGACAACGTGGGCTCCTGACCTCACAGGTCAAAGGTTAAACAGAATCAATAAAGTCATTTAGATGCTGAAAAGGCTTTTGATTCAATGTGTTGGAAATATCTTTATTGAGCTCTGGACAGATTTGGCTTTAATAATCAGATTATAGGTTGTTTCAGTCTGTATGAATCACATTCTGCCAGGATTAAGATTAATGTGGATTATCAGATTCAGGAAAGGGTCTGTGGCCGAGGCTGAACCCTCATCGCCACGTTGCTGCTTTTATTGATCCATCAGAGAACAACAACATTATGGGAGGAACTATTAAGGAACAAGACCAGACGATGAGCTGCTAACGCTAACTGCTAACGCTAACTGCTAATGCTAACTGCTAACGCTAACTGACCCAGAGTTAGCCGACCTGATAGCACAGGATGCTACGTCAACGATGGATTATAGTCAGAATGGTTGATTTCTGGTCCATAATCAATGATCAATCAGCAAACAATCATCCAATTCTAGTCAGAACCAAAGTTGAAAATGTGTCAACGAATCATTTGAGGTTGAAATTGATGAATCAAACGCCGATAACTGATCAATATCTGTTATCGGCAGATATTGATCGAGTCAATATCTGATCTATATTAAATCAATAAATGCTTTCCCAACTCCCTCTTCAGTACTTTGGTTCTTGGTTTGGTGAAACTGAACTGGATCTTTATCAGCATTTGGACATTTTTAATGAATTTAATCAACTTATTTTTCAGTGTTTGTGATTAATGGAGGTTTGAACCAGTTTTGATGAACTTTAACCCTGTATATATTGTCAATAATTGTTTCCAACTGCAGTTCAAATCACCTTTTGCTCTATTTTTCTGTCTCTGGTGTTAAATCAATCCTGATTTGATCTTTAGGTTTTCTGATAAACACTTTATTTTAAAAAATTGACTCATTTTTACCACGAGCTGCAGCATCATAAATGCTGCAGCATAGTGCAGCATTTATGATGCTGCACTATGCTGCAGCATTTATGATGCTACAGCATAGTGCAGCATCATAAAGCTGCAGCTTGATAGCTAAATGTAACTGTATGTGTCGACTAGCATAAGATAAATATTCATGAATATTCCTCATTAACTTAGCAGTGAGTGTACATCAATCAATCAGATTGATTGTTTGATTGATTGATTGAGTGTACATGGGGAACCGAACGCTTTGTGTTTGTTCTCAGACCTGTAACCAGTTCCCTACTTAATATTTCTGCTTGTTACAAAACGTCTCTCTTGCTCTGCAGAACCTGGTTTCTTTAGCAGAATGCTCTCAGAGTCAAGATAAGCAACCAGCAGCTTCTGCATGCTGAGTTTTTAAATTAACACCACAAAGGAGCAGCAGACACGAACAGACAGTCAGTTTGACACAAACTTATTTTAATCTCATCAGAGAACATGTGAAATTTCCTCCCCAGAATGTTTTAATGTTTTCCTGGGCGAATAACATGCAACACTGATGATGATGATGATGATGATCAGAACATTCACATTAGACTGGAAGGAAATAATTAAGGAAATTCATCCAGTGGAGAGACTGACTGTCATGAAGACTTTCTGCTGATCAATAAAAATATTGGAAGAGAAGAAACCTGAACCTGGAACCAACAGGAGGATCAATGTAATCATCTAGTTTTTATTGTGAAAGTTCTCACTTTGGGTTTTATTGTTTTATTATTTGATTGTCTTTGTTCAACAAGATACTTTGCAGCTTTTGTTAGTGGAGGTTTGAATGTTCAAAGTATTTATTTCTGAAACTGTAAAAACAACAAAATATAAAGTTTATGAAAAATAATCCAGAGGATGAAGGAAGTAGATAAGAGCAAAAACATCCAGAATCAACTTGAAGACAGAAGAAGAAACAGGAGGACAATAGAGCTGAATCAGCATCACACAATGAAAACATCTGGACTCACCGAGCCTTTCTGCAGTTCCTCACAGCTGGAAGCAGTCTCTGTCGTCCATCTGATGATGTGTTGTACTTCTCCAGGTCCAACTCATCCAGAACCTCTGACATCTGCAGCATGAAGGCCAGAGCTGAACAGTCAGTCTCTGAGAGCTTCTTCCCTGAATCCAGCAGCCGTTGGATCTCCTGATAAAATGAGACGTCGTTCATCTCCACCAGACAGTAGAAGATGTTGATGCTTCTGGCAGGAGAGATTCTATCAGAGTTCATCTCCTTCAGGTTGGTGATGATTCTCTGGATGGTTTCTGGACTGGTCTCTGTCTGACCCAGCAGATCTTCTAAGACTCTCTGGTTGGACTCCACAGTGAGACCATGAAGGAAGCGGACAAACAGGTCCAGGTGGCCATTTTGACTCCTGAGGGATTTCTCCATGACTTTCTTCATGAACTCATCTAGAGATGTTTCTCTGTATTCGTCTCCCAGGAACGTCTTGATCTCCTCTGACTTCCTGCTGGTGAAGCAGTGGAGCATGTAGACTGCAGCCAGAAACTCCTGGATGCTCAGATGAACAAAGGAGTAGACGGAGACGTCGCGTGTCCCTCTCTCTCTTTTAAACATCTCAGTGAAAACTCCTGAGAACAACGCAGCATCTTGGATGTTGATGCCGCACTGTGTGAGATCTTTGTCATAGAAGATCAGGTTTCCCTTCAGCAGCTGATCAAAAGCCAGTTTTCCTAGAGACTCAATCAGCTTCCTGTTCTCTGGACTCCATAGATTTGCTCTTTTTTCCTCCATCAAACTTTTCCTCCTTGATGTTGAGTAGAACCAGCAGGAACTCTATGTACATCTCAGTCAGAGTCTTGGGTAGTTTCTCTCTCTCTCTGGTCTCCATCACATCCTCCAGAACTTTAGCAGTGATCCAGCAGAAGACGGGGATGTGACACATGATGTGGAGACTTTTGGATTTCTGGATGTGGGAGATGATCCTGCTGGCCTTCTCTTCATCATCTCTGAATCTCTTCCTGAAGTATTCCTCCTTCTGGGGTCAGTGAACCCTCTGACCTCTGTCACCATGTCAACACTGAGCAGGGATCTGATTGGCTGCTGCAGGTCGTGTGGTTATCCAGGAGAGCAGAGGGAAGCAGTTCCTTCCTGATGAGGTTTGTCAGCAGAACATCCACTGAGCTGGACTCTGTAACATCAGTCAGGATCAGATTGTTGTTGAAATCCAGATTAAATCGACTTTCATCCAGACCATCAAAGATGAACAGAACCTGGAACGATTCAAAGTTTCTGATTCCTTTGGTTTTAGTGAATCGTTCATGAATCAGTTCTAATAAGCTGAACTTTTCTCTCTCAGTAAATTCAGTTCTTTGAAGGTGAATGGAAATATGAACTCAATGTTCTGGTTGGTTTTGCCTTCAGCCCAGTCCAGAGTGAACTTCTGTGTTAACAGTGTTTTTCCCAATGCCAGCCACGCCATGGTCATCACTGTTCTGATTGGTTGATCTCCTCCAGGTGGGACTTTAAAGATGTCTTCTCTTCTGACTGTTTCTTGTTTCCTGGATGCTGTTTCAATCTGTCTGACCTCATGTTCCTGGTTGACCTCTCTAGTTGACCCCTCTGTGATGTAGAGCTCAGTGTAGATCTGGTTCAGATCGGTTTTATTTCCAAGTTCAGCGACGCCTTCAGAGAGACTCTGGATCTTCATCTTCAGATGGTTTTTAAGTTCCTGTTGACACCGAACATCAAAATCTAAAAAATAAACAAGAGCAGACACTTCAGCTAAACATAATGAAAATAGTTATTTTGATATTCTCAAAGGACATTAATATATTTAACTTTTTCTCTGTGGTGAAAAATTTTGAAATCAGGAACTATTAGAAGAGATCAGATTTATTTATCATTTATAGTTTAATCAAAACCAGTAGAGGTTGTAATAGCAGCTTTAATGAACTTTGTCTCTCACCTGGACCAAAGGAGGCAGAGGACAAACCCAGCTGGTTGGACAGAGTTGGATCCATGTGAAGATGTTTGATCATCAACCTGCAGGCTCTCTGTCCTTTCTTTCTCACAGCATCTATGGTGTCGCGGGCCTTGTCTGCTCTGGTTCGGTTCATCTGCAGTATACCCTCATCCTCCAAATCACCAAACCCTCATCTGATAGAAGCTCATCAAGGAGCCGTTTCAGGATTTCCTCAGAAACTTTCTTCACAAACTCAGAGCGAACCTTGAAAAGTTTTTTTCTCTGCAGGCAGAAACAGAAACAGGATTAATTTACATCTGAGAGACAAACCTGATGAAGATCAACTCTTCCTGTTGCTCCATCCAGAGATTCTCCTCAGAGTCTGTTGATCAGCTCCTCAGGTCTGAACCTGCTGTTGTGTTTCTGCCTCATATCTGAGAGACGACACTGATTCTGTCTACATGAGAACAAATGAAGCTTCTGTTCATCATTTGTTTCCTCACTGCAGGAAGAACAATAAAACAAACACCTTCTAAATATAGAGCTGAACTATTTCAGGAAACAGGAAACTCTGATGTTATTGATGAAAATATCGACTGATTAACATTTTCATCATTTTTCTGTCTTTTACTTTCAACAAGTTTTTAATCTCCATCTCTAAGCTTCAGCATCTCTGTCACCAAATGTTGGGATAATAGAAACAGCAAGTCTTTGATAATAAATTAGTAATAAATGATGTGATTACTGGATAAATTAATTAGTGTATATAGTAAATATTCCTGAAGATGTTCTTCACTTTGGTTCCTTTTAGTTCTGTTTCCATCTGAGTTCAGTTTTTATCTTCAGGTTTCACAGAAACTCAGTTTCCAGCAGATCTTCACTGAACAGGAAGCATGAAAACAATAAATACTCTGAGGCTGAGGTTCATCACATGGCAGCAACACGGGCTGTGATTGGTCCGTTTGTTCCTTCATGATGGTTCATTTCTGCTTCTGATCACTTACCAAAATCCACTTCCTGCTGGACTTCCTGCTGGACTTCCTGCTGGACTTCCTGCTGGACTTCCTGCTGGACTTCCTGCTGCTGCGCCATCTTTTATCTGGAAAAATGAAGGATTTATTATGTTTCAGACTTTATCTCATAAATAATCTACTGTGATTTAAATGATAAACTAGATGGAAAAATACCAGATTAGAGATAAAAATATTCATTTAAATCACACAATAACACACCACTGAAAAACACAATTTCTTTAATCCTTAAAACTAAAATTTGTCTTTTTGAAACTGACTTGATTCTTCCAGAACATCTGAAATCAACACTATTGAACCAAATGTTTGTATTTAAGGATGGAAAGCGACTGTGAGTCATTCTAGGATCAGATTTCCTTCAGACTGAAATGAAAACATCTTTAAATCCTGTTTGTTGCCATTGAACAGTAATGTGTTGCTGCCATCACCAGCTGATTAAATGTCCTCCAGAAATGCGTCTGGCCTCCTGCTCAGGCGTTTAGTTTTCAGGTGACCAGTTGTCCTCACCGTCTCTGCCGTCTTCCTCTGAGTGATGATGAGAAGCAGCAGAAATAAAGACACAGAGGGATGAGAGGGACGAATCTGGACTGACAGAGTTTCATCCTGTTGAAACAAACCAAGTTCTGACTGGTTCTGCTGAAGCTGCTGACTGGGACCAAAACTGGAGAACTTAGTGGAATTAAAACCTCTACAACCCTAAAGGCGACCCAATCAAACGACTCACTGTACATATTTGAAACTTGCTACACAAAGCCTTCAACACAGGAAATAAACTATTGGAGGGAGGGTCAAAGGTCATTTTGACATGTCACATGATGAATTTAGTCCAAGGAATTTAGAGTATTGGCTTCTTACAGCAGGTATTGTTGTTGCGCAACCTCGGCCCCCCTCCTTCACTCTCTCTCTCTCAGTCACTACTTCCTCTTCAGAGAGGGGAGATGTGCTACCAGCTCTCTGTCTAACAGGTGAATTGAGTTTCCTAAATCTGTCCAGAACTGAAGTAAACTCTGTTTTAGCTGCATCCAGAAAGGATTCGCCTGGTTACTGACGGCCTCCATCCAGATGTCTCGTCCTCTTCCCCCTGTGAATCAGCCAGACTGAGCAGCAACTGGTTCCACAGAGCACATCTGTTAACGGTCGCTCCTTCTCTTTGTTACAACTTGCACTTGTTATGAATCAGGTGGTTTAGTGACTCTGACGAGTCCCAAGGATGTTGTTTTAGATTTGGGCTAAAGCAACCCTATAAAACATGACCTAGTTTTCTTCCCCAGAATCAAACATCACAGCTATTTTCTACCATCAAAGAACTTTGAGGTGACTCATTAATTGAATGTCCACATCTTTTACATTTTCTTTAGGCTAAATATTTTATTAGTAAAGCACTTTGCAAGAGTCAGTACAGCTTAATTCAGTAGCAGAAATAATCAAATAAGTAAAATCAATCATCTAGTTTGTCTTTCCCTAACGCTGATACTAAGAACTAAAAAGGGAATCTGTTGTGGACAGGCGTAGAGGGGATCACGTGATGTCGTTAGTGATTATAGATCAGCTGTTGCTCACCTGGGTGAAGTAGTGAGTGGGTGATGGAGGAAGGTTTACTTTTTGCTGACCGCTTCAATTTAGCACATTTTGTCTTTATTCACTGTTTTTTCTACGGATCCGTTTTTTTTTTTTTTTTAACTTTATTTTTATTTATTTTTAACAACACATGTCCACAGTTGCATTCGTCTGTCTCTTACTGACATTTATCTTCTGCATTATAACTTGACAAAAGATGAGACATCAAATGATCTAACATAGGCAATAAGGAATACATACCAGTACAAACATCACACAAGAAAACAAATAAAAATAAAAAATAATACAAGACACACAATTAAATCCCCTCTGACATAAGATGGTCCTCACATTCTTAAACACCATGGTATTCTAACTGACCCATGGGTACATAAAGGTACCAACAAGCAATCCTGTAAGGGCGTCATTGAATTAGTAACGGTAAGACCGGGCTCCACCTTATATCAAAAACTGTTTTTTGAAGCCTTAAGGAATATGTGATTCCTTCCATCAGATAAATGTCCCAGATTTTTTGTATCCATGTGTTATATGTAGGAGGCCCTGGTTTCAGCCACCTGATAGTTATACATTTCAAGGCTGCTGTGAGCAAGATACTTAGAAGATATCTATCACCCTTCCTGTCCATTCCATCGGGTATTACTCCCAGAACTGCCACCAAGGGAGTTTTTGGAACATTTCTCCTGAAAATAACACTGAGAGCTTCAAAAGTGTCCTTCCAGAAATCACTTAGTTTAGGACAAGACCAGAAGCTACGGATCCGTTTTTATGCTGTGTGGACACTGACGCTTTGGATATTGGCAAAATAAATCAACTTAAATGCAACTTGGATTGCGTTTTTGATCAGCTGGCGCGTCAACAAAGATTCCCTATTCAGCCGCTCAGCGACCCTGGTTTGACAGTCGCTGATAGAACCTCTGAGAGAGATGGACGATCACACAAAGTGACCTCTCAGGTTCTGGTTCCCCAGAACCAGAACCAACAGAGGAGAAGCAGCTTCAGCATCTATGCACCACAAATCTGGAACAAACTTCCAGAAAACTGTAAAAACAGCTGAAACCCTGACATCCTTTAAATCTCAACTAAAAACTCACCTGTTTAGAATTGAATTTGAAATGTAATCAATACTCACTGATTATTGGCTGAAAGTGCTGCAAGTGTATCCAATACTGACTGCATTGTCTGCATAAAGTAGGTTCATGTTTATTAACAGAGATTTTGAAGGGCCCAGTAGATCAAAGTCCATTGGCTGAGTTAAATATTATAAATGTTTTATTTGCATGTTATGGCATTGACTTAATGTAGTTTTTGATATTGATTCTATGTTGCATCACTTTGTGTTTTTTGTGTTTATTATGTCAGGAAAATCTGAGATCATCCCACTTCCCCATGCTGGAGATTTCAGTTAATAGTAATGTTATGTTCTTTGGGCACTCTCTAATTATTTTTATTTTCTTAAATAATTTTGTATTGATTTAAGTTGAGTGGTTTGTGTTTAATATATTTTAGGGTAGTGATTCTTTTTGTAATTAGTTTGGCTTTAATTGGTGGGCGAGGACGGCCTATATATAGGCTGGGTTGTAATGGTTGCCGCCCAGCCGCTCTCTCTCTCTCTCGCTCATCCACCTCCATCTCCACCTCCAAGAGGAATGCGCCGGAGGAGGCTCCTCCAACTTTGTCGGCCTTTGGACCCTTGTGATGCCTCCTGCCTGCCATGGGGATTTTTTTGGTTGTTTTTTGGTCTGTTTTGGCCTGTGAGTCCGGTTGTCCTGTTTTCGGTCATTTTGTGTTAATAGCTTATATATTTTTTTCCCTATTTTCTTTAGTCTGGTACTAGCAGGGGCTTCGGCGGCCTGTATAGGGTTGGCCCCCTGCTGTACCTTTTGTTTCTTTGGACCGGCTCACCAGGTCCACCTTTCTGTTGAACTTTTTTCTCTTACTTTTTTGTTACGTTTTGGACACGGGAAGAGGGGTTCTTTCCTTCCTTTACAGAAAAAAACAAGTAGAAAAGGACAAGGAAGTCTAAAAGAAAATAAAAAAAATGAATAAAGGAATATTTTTCTTGGAATCCTTTTGTCTACGTGTCCTTTTAAATATGGCGTCCTGGCGGACGTAACAAGTAACAACAAATAAAGTTACCTTTAAAAATCAGTCACACAAGCGACATCTGGACCCAACAGTAGAGCCAGACTGCAATAAAATAAATCTGGTTGTGTGTGTTGTTTTTGTCTCCTGCAAACTTTGCTTTAATTATAATTATCTTTTTTATCTAATCTTAAGAAATCATAGAGAGAGATGAGACAGGAAGAGCAGGTTTCCTGGAAACTGAGGAAGGAAGTTTCCAGCCTGCAGATTTATAAAAAATCTGAGATTATTCCTTATTAAAAAGCATAAAAGTTTGAAAGGATGAAATCTAAACATTTTGAGTAATTAGATAAGATTTAAAGTAAAGTACTTATATTAATATTGTTTACTTATAACAATACTTACTGACACTTGTGGAAAAACGTACAAAGTAAGACAAGTAACTGTAACTTTGGTATTAAATAATTACAATAATAGATTATTCTTGGTTTCTTTTCAGAACATGTATAATAACCACATTATAATTATAATAAGAGTAATAAGTTGTGATTATCATAAAATTATAAATTAATGCTAAATTAAAGGAACTAAAAGGATTATAACATTGAACTTGAAATGGTGTAAAATGTGTAACTGCTATTAAAGATCACTGATGATGTGTTGGAGGTAGATAGAAGGTGAAAGGTCAAGGTCAAAGAGGACTAACAGGAGAGCAGAGATGACCAACGCCTCATTTGAAGATAGATGATTGAACAACTTAAACGTCTCAGAGACATGGGAGCATCGTTGAGCAACCCTGAGACATTAGCCAAGACATCAGGACAAAATGTCTCCAAGACAGTGATGGATATGAGGTCATCTGTCCATCAGCCAATGAAACAAGCACAGCAACAGTGTTAGCCAATGCTAATGCACCAAAATGGTGGATAAACCAATAAAGGGTGAGAGCAAAAAGAGGAACCTTTGGTTGGATCAGGGTTGCTCAACTTATTACTCTTGTATTATAATGTGAGTTATTACAGAAGTTACAGTTACTTGTCTTACTTGTACGTTTTTCCACAAGTGTCAGTAAGTATTGTTATAAGTAAACCAATATTAATATAAGTACTTTACTCTAAATCTTATCTAATTACTCAAAATGTTTACATTTCATCCTTTCAAACTTTTATGCTTTTTAATAAGGAATAATCTCAGATATTTTTATAAATCTGCAGGCTGGAAACTTCCTTCCTCAGTTTCCAGGAAACCTGCTCTTCCTGTCTCATCTCTCTCTATGATTTCTTATGATTAGATAAAAAAGATAATTATAATTAAAACAACACACACAACCAGATTTATTTTATTGCAGTCTGGGTCTACTGTTGGGTCTAGATGTCACTTGTGTGACTGATTTTAAAGGTAACTTTATTTATTGTTACTGTTAAATTAAACTCTCCAGCATGGGGAAGTGGGATGATCTCAGATTTTCTTGACAGTATTCTTGTAAACCTTGGAGAATTAAAAGTTATCAAAATTGAATGTTTTGATCCAGGCCTCAAACTTTGATGTTTCACCAATAAAATTATGTCAGAGTCAAACAGTTTGACTTTAACTTGATTGTGCAGGAGGAATTAAGACTTCAGGTTGTTTTTCCCCATAAACAGAGACGTAGACCAGAACTCATTTCTTCAGAGGAACCAACTTCACACGGATCTGAATGATTGGTAGAAGAAAAGAGCAAGAACTGAAGCTCTGCATATCTGAATCCTGAGACAAGATCAGACATGCAGGTAATCAACGTCTTCAGTTTCTCACTCTGGAGAATCACAGATGGATTAAAGTGAGATGCTGAAACCTGCTGAGGCTTGAAATATTCCTCCACTCCTCAGTGGAACAAGAAGAGCTTCATAAAAACAGAAAACAAACCGTCTCTGGAGTCTGACAATAATGAGAGGATTAATATGTGAACATCTGCTGTACAGAGATGATAGATGATTGTAATAAGATCAATATTCATTCAACAAACACCATCATGTAATCTGAGATTATTTGGTTTGGTTGGGACAGATTGAGATTCCTGATAATTAGTTTCATCTCTCAGGATGATTCATCTCAGAACACAAACATTCAAAGTCAATGATTCTCATGTTTAGGTTCTGATTATAATCACTTAAATAAGTTTCAACAAACTGCTTCTGTAAACTCTGAGTTAACTTAGCCTGAAACTGAGATCCTGGTTCTAAAACTTTTTACCTAAAGATCAACAAACTGCACTAATCAACAACCACAGGAAGTGGATTTGTGATGTCACCAGGTTCAGATGTCATTAGACTGTTGTTCCTCTGGAGGGCGCTGTTGATTCTTTACAGCTTGATCAGCTTTCAACTGAACCACCTGCAGCCTGGACTGAAATGATTGATCAATAATTTGGTGAAAATCTGAAAACTGTTCATCAGATTTTATCTAATTAAGCAACAACTTAAATAATATCATTAATATTAAACTTTGTTTTGGTTTCACATGAATATCAGGAAACTGGGAAATGAAAATATGATGATGTTTAAAGGGTGTAAAAACTTTCAGATGGTTTTGGATTTAAAGTCAGACTTTAATCTCAGTTTCTGCTTTAAAAGTTTAGATAAATTATCCAATCTTATTAAAGCAACTATAAAACTTTTATTGTGATTGTTTCACTGATAAACAGTGAATGATCTCCTGATCTTATGATTCCTGACTCACCTCAGGCTCCGCCCCTTCTCACTACTGGACAATAAAAAACTGTGGAAAGATGTTGATCGTGTTGGAGTCACTCTAGGTGGCGCCGTTTTGTCTCTTTCACAATCAAGTTTGCTACATTTTTACAGAGAAGGGAAACAACTGAACCACTAGGGTCAAAGGTCAAAATCCTGCCACCAGACTCAGTTTATTTATATAAAATATAAAAATCCAAACATTTAACAATGAATCAAAAACAGAGTAAAAAAAAACTCTAAAGATTCACAGATAGCCGAACTTCTGTAAATTTCTCTCATTCACCAAAATTTAAAACAATTTAAAACTTTGTTAAAAACAACAAAATTATTTAATATCACTGTCATTGAAGTATGAAGTGACTGAAATATAAAATACACAACAGGTTTCCTTTTAAGTGTTAGCAGTGATATAGATTATTAGAAATCGCTGTGATTCAACCAATAGTTTAGCAGATTTGTGATTTAATATTAATCAATCATTTAAAAATCAAAATGAGAGAAAATGAATGACGATCAGAGTGGAGGACAGTTTTCTTCTGCTTAAACCTCTGAGCTCTCCAGGACAAATCTGACATTTTTTATTTGTTTTACATTAAAAAACAACAAACAAGACATTTGATCCAAAATGGCCGACTTCCTGCTGGGAGTGTAAACGGGTCCAATAGTCATTTTTCTCAGTTCTGATGGTTTGATGTTTTAACTCAGTTCAGGTCTAAATAACAGCAGTGGATGTTTTTAATACTCTAGGGGGCGCTGTGTTGATATTTCACCATAATCACTTCTTACTGATCAATAATTGATTGAATGTGATCAGCTGTCCTCTGGCTCCTCTCTGATCAATAAATTATTGACTTCATATCGAAATATTTTCATCCACCAACCAGGAACCAGATATCTCAGCTGAACCAGAACCAAACCAGAACCAGCAGCTCAGAGAGAGAAACCAGTCAGGACTGGAAACCAGAAGATTGTGGAGTTAAAACTCACCTGATCAGATCTTTGCTTCTCCTTCTGTTCACACAAACCCAGTGGGAGCAACTGGAGAACCGCACCCGATTCTCCAGAACTTTAATGGGACCACCTGAGGCTCCGCCCCCTGACAGCAGAGGTGTGTTCACCTGTTGAATAACAAGAAACCAGGAAATAAATGTTAAACAACAAGTTCACGTTTCAGTTTAAAGCTTCTTTAAGTTTGAAACATATTCAGGATTTTAATCAATATTTTATTAAATTAATGGAGATTTTCAGATTCATCTATAAAGAAATTTAACAAATAAAAGTAATAATAGTTGCTGCTTGTTATGATCTGAGCCAACAGAACCAAGAACCTTGAAATGTTGATGTTTCTCCATCTGACATGTTCATATTAAATACAGATTTTATTCATTTATTTAATCTTGTTTAATGTTGATATGAAGGAAACTTTCCATGATGATTCTCACCTGATCCTCCTTCACTGCTGAACATAAACTTCTTTAATCTTTGTCTCTTTTAGCCTGGAGGCTTTAAGTTGTTCAAATAGTTTGTCTCAAACGTTTCCAACGAAAATTAAAACCTCCTGAACAGGTTTTAAGTTGCTGCAGCCGTTCACTGGAAGATGTTTATGAGTTTCTGTCTCTGCTGTGCAGGAATGTTTCCTCCTTCCTCAGTTTGCTCATTTAGTTTTAAAATAATTTTCTTTCTATTGGTGCCTGGTTCTGGTTCTGGTTCTGATCAGGACAGATTGATGGTTTTCCAGCCTGTTGGCTCTGCAGCCTCCAGTTCTTCATGAACAACATTTAAAAATGAACATTACTGTGTAAAAGTTTTAAAGACGTCAGTTTGTTTTGTTTTCTTTCCCTCCAAAGATTCAATTTTGGTGTAAAAACGTCTTTTGACTGTGATCAGCTTTACAGGAACATTATTATCTCCTCTGCATCTCCACTGTATTGATCCAGATATTAATCAATGATCTGGGCAGAAGAAAAAGACCCAGAAAGGAGGAAATAGTTTTTATCATCCAGTAACTTGTGGATGTTTGTTGTTAAAGTTTCAGTCAGTCGGATCCATCCAGTCGTCTTTCACTACATGACCGACTTCAGTTCCTGATCCTGTTTAAAATAGTTTTTGTTTACTTTTAGAAATAAAAAAAACAAACATTTCAGAATAACTCAAACCCTGGCAGGAAGGTCAAAGGTCACCATAGACATTAATTAGCATTAGCATTAGCTAACATCATTCAACTGCTACACATTTAATTATCTTTTTAGCTCTGATGCTAAATTTTGGCCAGAAAGTTCATTTAAAAGTCAAATAATAATAATAATAATAATAATAATAATAATAAATAAAGAATCTGAAACATAGTCCACAACATTTTTTAAAGTTTAACATTTTCCTAAATGGCAAAGATTTCACAACTTTTTCAGTTTCTAATCTTTTTATTTTTCATTTTATCTTTGGTCTTTCCATGATGATTCTCACCTGATCCTCCTTCACTACTGAACATAAACTTCTTTAATCTTTGGCCTCTCTTAGATGGAGGCTTTAAGTTGTTCAACTAGTTTGTCTCAAACGTTTCCAACGAAAATTAAAAACCTGCAGAGTACAAACAGGTTTTAACTTGCTGCAGCCGTTCACTGGAAGATGTTTACCAGTTTCTGTCTCTGCTGTGCAGGAATGTTTCCTCGTTGCCAACATGCCTGAAAAAAAAAGGTTCAACCTCCAAACATTAAGATCCGTCCAGCAGGAACCTTTTCTGATGTGTCATAAATGGAAGGTGAAGGTTTCAGATCAATGTTAATCAAACTAGTAAATATCATTTAACACAAAATTCCTGATGCAGGAATTTCCTGGGAACACTTCAGGGTGGGGTCATAAGGTCGTCCATCAGCGGCCCGCTGCGTTTTTGGTTAAAATATTACAAAGTTTTGAGTGTCATAATTCAGAGGAGGGTTGTGAAGCCCTCCTCTGATTGTTTTACTGATAAAAAGTGAATAATCTGTTTCTCCTGATCTTATTGTTCCTGACTCACCTCAGGCTCCGCCCTTCTCACTACAGTACAACAGTATCAGCCCGGCAGGCTGATGAAGCAGAGGAAACCCTGACTTCTAGTTCTAGTTGGTCTCTTGCTGCTCTTGTTCTGGTCCCCTCACTGGGAGCCAGTGACTAATAACTTCAGCAAAACACATGAGCTTCTTTTCAGTCAATTATTTCTTAATATTGATGAATCATGCAGATTATTTCACTTATAACATTTATATAACATTTACCCAAATTATGAGTGAAACAATCTTCCAATTAAATAAGTAACTAATTCTACTGGCAAATTGAATAAATTATAGGTAAATCTTTATTATTGCAAACCTTCATTCTGTCCACCAGGAGGCAGAAATGAGTAACAGATGTTTATTTAAGACTCATTTAATATCAGATAAAAGCTTTACATTTAATAACATTCTAAAAACAGCAGAAATTCTCAGAAAACATAAAAAAACAACAAAAAGTTAATAAAAATGAGTCATAGGAGACAAGAATATGATTAAAACCAGCAGAATAACAATTAAATGATCATAATGTCCATCATATTAATGTTAACCTAAATATCTATTTTCATTTGATTTTATCTCTGATTTGACTAAATGTGTTTAAATTGTCCTTCTTGTGTTTCCATCCAGTTCAAACTGACTTCAGGTTCTTCAGACTTCACACAGTCAGACATTAGAAGCAGAAACTATTGAGCAGGTTTCCTCTGTTTCTCATCCTCATACAAATATTTACACAACAGTGAAACTTCTCGGCATAGAATGCTAATTAATGAGTGGAATTATTGATTTCCCTTTAAACTAATCAAAACTATTGATCACATTGATGAGCTCTAAATAAAAAACTGTCATATTTCAGAATTTTAAAGCTCCAAATCTGGTGGGAAAAGCCTTAAATTCCAGATGTTGAGGAGCCGTCGGGTCCAATCAGAGTAAAACTTGGTGCTGATCTGCAGGATTCTTCAGAACCGACCCGGTTAGCGGGCCGGAAGCGGCTGCATCTGCAGGGAGTCGTAGGTGTCTCTGGTGACCGAGCTCAGACCCTGAAAGCAGCCCATCATTAATCAATCAGCTGATCAGAGCAGATGTTGGACGGGTCGGTCCGGTCCGGTCCGGTCGGTACTCACCTGGTAAACCTGCTCGTTCTTCCGCTGACGCTGCAAAAACAAGAGTTTTTAATGCAACCGGTTCCAGAACCTGACAGAACCTCATCGTGTTCAGACGCTCACCTCTCTCCTCACAGGAAGCTCTTTATACGTCGGTTCTGATCGTTTCTGCAGGCCCTGAAACCCAAACAGAACCAGTTAGATAAACATCCAGAGGTCACTGCGGTTCTGTTCTGGACGGTTCGTCTGGTACCGTGTAGGTGGAGTCATCCGGCGCTCGGCGGTTCTGAGAGACACAATGAGAAGAAACAAGATGAAGCATCTGAACAGAACCAGAACCTTCAGAACCGGACATCTGGACTCACCCGTCCTCGCTCCGGGTCGGTCATCAGCGGCTCGTAGTGTCGCCCGTCGCTCTGCTGAGAGACTGAACACAAAAACACATGAAGACGAATTCAAGAGAAAATCTGAGCTGCGACACGACGAGACGACGGGACTCACAGCGTAGGTTCCATCGTCTGAGCCCTTCGCTTTGGTTCTGAAGAACTGGAACACAGAAGGTCCAGAATAAGTTCTGAAAACTCACAAACCGTCTGAAAGAACGAATTTATAAAAATATGTTTGTGATGACAGTTTGTTATGAAGCTGATCGACTGTGAAAATATCGACCTGCAGCAAAAACCACCAATCAGAGCCAGGAGGAGGGGCTTAGTGCTGTCAATCATCCTCATGTATTCACTGCTGAATGTGTTAAAGGCAGAAAAATGACTTAATGTTTCAGGAAAACTGTTTATTGTTTTCCTTTTTCTACCAAACAAACAGGTTTTAATCTCAACCAGAATTTTATTGAAGGATAGTTTTTGATATTTTATTTCACTTGTTTTATTGATTTTAGATATTTAAAATGTTTTCCAGTTCTAGAGCTAAATGGTCATTAAAATGTAAAGTTTACTGATCTGTCTTCTTGATTATGATAATCTTGGTCTTAAATAATAATGTGTTCCTGGTTTGACCCGTCATGGAAACATGTTCTGCCTGGTTCTGCCTGGTTCTGTTGGGTTTGGACCCACCTTCTCCTTGATGAACATGCCGGTCATGATGAGGCCGTAGAGACCCAGAAACCCGTCCAGGTCTGGCTGCAGCTGCTAGAATATGTGTGTGTGTATGTGTGTGTGTGTGTGTGTGTGTGTGTGTGTGTGTGTGTGTGTGTGTGTGGTGTGTGTGTGTGTGTGTGTGTGTGTGTGTGTGTAGAGGGGATGTTGATTTAATGCTTAGGAACATTTTCCATCAGCAACAAACTCAGCAAGATTTAAAGAACAATGGCTACAGAGGAGGAGGAGGAGGAGTCTCTGTGGTTACTAACCAACAGCGGATGAGGAAGAGTGAGGATGGGGACACAATGCAGACTCAGCAGATTGTAACGTTTTCCACGTACCGTTCCTCCAGCGGTTCAGTTCAGCCTCCAGCCTCTGGATGGCGCTCTTCAGGCTCTTGTTCTTCTCCTTCTCGTATTTCTTCTTCCACTCCTCTGCGGTCAGCTCCAGGTTCACACACACCGTGTTCTTGATGGTCTTCGCCCTGAACCAGACAAGATGGCCACCATCAGTCCATCACAACATCTGCACATCAGGAGGGTTCAAATGTATTTGGGACAAAATAACTGAAAGCCAAAAAAATGACATTTTTAACAAATAAATCACAAAAATTGTTGTGATTCTTTTAATATACTCAACAATAAACAAAGCATAAATATTTAAATTTAAAAAGTAAAATTACTCAGAGGGTTTTTTGTAAATTGAAAAAAACTGAAAAAGTATTTATCTACTCTTGCTAATAAAAATAAAATGTCCTGGAAGCTTGAATCCAGCAACTAAAAGCAGATTTTAGTTCATAGATGTGAAGTTTT